TCGAACTCGTGAAAGCCTTTGCTTAGATCTTGGTGGAACATCTTCTTCATCTTGTTCTTTGTCTTGTCCTTCCTCATTGTTGTTGACGTTGTCGTTCTCTTATCGTGGTGGAGAAGGAGGTTGTTGATGTTCATCTTGGTGTGCTTCCTCGTTTTCTTTGTCTTGGTGTGTCCCACTTGTGGATGCTTCCGTGTCAACTCTTGGTTCACCTTGTCGTGAGGTAGAAGCTTCCACTTGGATGGACGAGGTACTCACCTTCACCTCCATTGGACGAACCTTGCTAATAGACAAGTCTTGTATTGCTTCCAAAGGATCTTTGTCTCCTACATCAATTGGCAATTGCTCTACTTGCGAGCCATTAGATTCATCAAACTTCACATCTACCGTCTCTTCAACCTTTCGGGTGAAATTATTGTAGACACGGTAAGTGTGAGAGTTTGAGCCATAACCAAGTAGGAATCCTTCATGAGACTTAGGAGCAAATTTAGAGCGACGATGCTTATCAAGAATGTAGCACTTTGAGCCGAATACTCGAAAGTATCCAACTTGGGGTTTGTTACTGGCGAGGAGCTCGTATGCCGTCTTGCCGAGTAGCTTATGAAGATACAAGCGATTTGTTGCATGACAAGCTGTCTCAACCGCTTCCGCCCAAAAATGCTTTGGCATCTTGTACTCATCAAGCATCATTCTCGCTATTTCGATGAGCGTCCGGTTCTTCCTCTCAACAACTGCATTTTGTTGAGGTGTGTACATAGCCGAGAACTCATGTGAAATCCCTTCTTCGTCAAGAAAGGTGTCCACATTTGCGTTCTTGAACTCCGTTCTATTGTCACTCCGAGCTTTCTTGATCTTCACTTCGAACTGATTTTGGGCTTTCCTCGCGAAGTTTTTGAAGATATTTTGGACCTACGATTTATCATTGAGAAAGAACACCCACGTAAATCTTGAAAAATCATCAACTATAACTAGACCAAAAGAATTTCCACCGAGACTTTTGTAAGCGTTGGGACCAAAGAGATCCATATGAAGTAGCTCAAGTGGCCTTCGTGTGGTCATGATGTTCTTCACGGGATGCCTTCCTCCAACCTGTTTACCTGCTTGACAAGCGCTGCATAGTCTATCCTTATCAAATATGACATCGTTAATGCCAAGGATATGATTACCTTTAATAAGCTTGTCAAGGTTTCGCATGCCCACATGACCTAATCGTCTATGCCATAACCAACATTTAGAAGATTTGGCAATGAATCAAGTTCTAGGTTGAGCCTTTTTAGTGAAATCAACAATATATAGATCACCTCTACGAATGCCGGTGAAGACCATTTGATGATTATCTCTACGAAACACTTGGCAATCTACTTTAGTAAATAGGACATTGAAACCGAAATCAGCAAGTCTAGATACTGAAAGTAAATTGTATCCAAGAGATTCAACGAGCATGACATTTTTTATGGAGCTATCATGTGATATGGCCACCTTAGCAAGGCCAACCACTTTACCCTTTGAGTTGTCACCGAAAGTGACAAACTTTCGAGGACAGTCATTTTCAGCAAGCTCACGAAACATGTATTTATCTCCGGTCATGTGATCGGTACATCCACTATCAAGAACCCATTCCTTTCCGCCTGGCATATATCCCCGAAGATTTGCCATAAGACCAAAGTGTCTCATTGCATCATCAAGATCAAAGTCATCATCATCATCATCATAGTATCCATGTTCAACATTGTCATGTTGTGGATCGATTCCTAGAGAAGGTGATTCATTAGAATGAGTTTGACAATGATTTCCTTTATGAATTCTAGTAGCTTCAGAGATAATATCACTAATGATTCCAACATTTCCTTTGGCACGCATAAGGTTTGTAAGTTCAAATAGACAGTTACCAAACATAGGATCATTGGAATTCATCTTACTTAAGGCAATAGATTTATGGAGAATTTCATCTAGATTTTTCAAGGAATAATTCGGAAATTGTTCCTCAAGAAATTTCCATATAGTGTAGGCACACTCAAGAGTAGGCAAATTTACAATCAAGTTTCTAGGCAAGCCTCTAGTGATAAGATTAACAGTTCTAAGATTGTGAATCATGTCAATTGACTCATCAAGGGTAGGATGCATAGGATCAGCATGGGATGCACAAGGACTAGCAATGTACTTGTTTAAATGATATTGATTGAAGATCACAAGCATCTCATTTTTCCACTCATGAAAGTACTCTCCATCAAGTATAGGCACTCTATGTCTAAGACTCCCCAAAGTAGACTCATCCATCTTCCTCCAATGGTGATTAAACCAAAGCAATGGAGAACAAAGATCTGATACCAATTGAAAGGGATCGAGAAGAGGTGTCTAGAGGGGGGTGATTAGACACAATGTACCAAAAGTTGCAGCTTTTAAAATCTTTAAGTTTAAGTGGAGTTTTAGCACAAGTTTAACAATCACAATACAAATCAAGCAAGCATGCAAAGATTATATGAGCAGCGGAAAGTAAAGCATGCAACTTGCAAGAACATAAAGGGACGGGATTGGAGTGTGCAAACGCAATTTCGAGACACGAAGATTTTTGATCCGTGGTTCCGATAGGTGGTGCTATCGTACATCCACGTAGATGGAGACTTCAACCCACGAAGGGTAACGGTTGCGCGAGTCCACGGAGGGCTCCACCGATGAAGGGTCCACGAAGTAGCAACCTTGTCTATCCCACCATGGCCGTCGCCCACAAAGGACTTGCCTCCCTAGGGGTAGATCTTCACGAAGTAGGCAATCTCCTTGCCCGTACAAACTCCTTGGTTCAACTCCACAATCTTGTCGGAGGCTCCCAAATGACACCTAGCCAATCTAGGAGACACCACTCTCCAATAAGTAACAAATGGTGTGTTGGTGATGAACTCCTTGCTCTTGTGCTTCAAATGATAGTCTCCCCAACACGCATCTACCACGTGTATCTAACAAATGAGGCCAGATCGAGCCCTGCATCCCGCATCTACCACGGCTGGAGCCTCCTGCTCCAGCAAGTGCGGCCCTCCCAGATCCAGCGCGGCCCATCAGTGCCCTCGACGGCCTCCACTCGCCGCCCGGTGCAGTGCAGACGCGCCCTCCGCGGCGCCCACCTCCGCGCCAGGCCAGGAGCAGCACGGGGCGGAACTCGGGCCCTCGTGGCGGCAGCGCGCCAGATCCGCGCCACTGCCACTGCCGGACCGCTGCCCAACCCTACGTCGGCCAGATCCGCACCTGCCCTCCACCCCGCGCCCTCCTCCTCCTTTACCACGACACCTCTCGGCGCCCTCCTCCTCCACCTCGCCATCTCCCGGGCGCCGCACCAGATCCGCTCACATGGACGCGCAGCTCGTCGCCGTAAGCCGCGGAACAGCCGCCCACCGCCCGATGATGCCTCCCCCAGCAGCCAACCATAGATCGCCTCCGACCCGAGGAGATCCGCCGTCGGGCCGCAGGCCCGCCGCGAAGCCGGCCGTCCCGCGTCGTCCTGGCGCCTCGTGGGGAGGGGAGGGGCCCCGCCGCCGCCGACGTACGCGCGGGCTTTTCCCGGCGCCGTCCCCTGGCGGCGGCGGGGGAGGGGGCGAGGGTGGAGAGGGGCTGCGGTGGCGGGCTGGGTTTCTCGCCCGGCCACTCACAACTGCAACTGCACGTTTGTAGCGTGTTTTGTTTGTTTTGTGGTGCATTTTCTTTGACCAACTCTCAAGGATTCAATCAATATCTTGTACCATCTCCTCTCAAAATATAAGATTTTTTGTATACTAGACGGATGTAGTACCATTTTGCTGCATAGCTTTATTAATATAAAGTGGGGCGTATGCCTGCTTGGACAAACTCCAAGGTACGTCCAATGGTCATGCGCAGTTACAGAGAAACTCCAAGGTACGGCCAATGGCAATGCGCAGATACAAGGTAAACAAGAACCATGTGTGAGAACCAGTATTATCTCTGCAGTTTATGTAAATCTGTAACTCTGGCCGCGGGCATTGCAAAACGGGTTTCTTTGGGATCAAAAGAAGTTGAATGAGACAAGTTTTGCTGGAACCAACGTCCTATATTCGCTCTTCTAATTTTCTATCAGCTCTGAAGCCTGGATCAATTGTACAGTGGCACTGGGCTTGAGACTTATTGCTGCTTCCGAGCTCACCTCCTACTATTCAGATTGCTTAGGCTGAAGCTGGTGAAAAATTACAAGTCAAGATCAGATGTGACGCAGAATGGCAAGAGCTATTGTTGCTATTTTCGCTACAATGATTCTTTTTCCTGAAATAATAGGGTATAGAAAAGCTACCTTTGCTTATATAGATGAGAGAGGGCCTTCAAGCAAAGTCATGTGTGATGCAATACACAGGCTACCCTTTGAAACTGGAGGGTTGCAGCATGTGAAGGGGCCATGGAAGTTTCTTTACACCGATTATCCAACAGCACCTGTGACGGCGACTGCGCCTCCGAAACTGGAACTTTGTGATCCTGATGGATCAAAATGTAAGCTTTCGGATGCAAAGGTGAACACCCAATAACTCGAGTGGCAAACAAACAACAATACACAAGATTCTCATGGTCAGTTCTCAACTATGATCTGATCTTCTGCAAGGAAAAGAAAATACCAACATACCTATTTGGCACACGAACGAAAGACCGACTTACAACTGCGGTTTGGATCGGGTGAACTTGAATTTCATTCTATGCCAGCCAGATTCTCCAGAGACAAGAGCACGAACGCGATACATAACAAGCACAATGCTAACTACTCCCTCCGTTCGGAATTACTTGTCTCGGAAATGGATGTATCTAGAACTAAAATACGTCTAGATACATCCATTTTCGCGACAAGTAATTTCGAACTAAAATACGTCTAGATACATCCATTTTCGCGACAAGTAATTTCGAACGGAGGGAATAGCAGTTGCAGAAACATTGTGCTAGCTAGATAGTATAATTGCTAATCCTTTCAATCAATGAAGTGATGAGAAAAGAAACAATTGGTCAGTTGCACAACAATTTTAACTCCTGCAGATACATGCCAAGATAAATTTTGCCGACGGGTGGTTAATAGATATTAAAAAGAAGAGAAGGATGTAAACCATGTGTATACAGTGCCAAGGTATACTTCCTGAATAAGAAACTAGCAAGCACCATTCATCCGGCACAAAATATGGTCTTACCACAGGTGCCTGTAGAAACAAACAGATGACAAATCGTAAGTTCTGCATAATCAGGAAGGCAGAAGAGAGAACTTGAGTATTGAGTTTAGTTTCTGCTAGATTTATCAGAAACAATTAAAACTGGCTTGGAACTAGCTGTACCTCTTTGCATGAAGGAGGTTGAGGAGCAGCATCTTTGTTGAGGAGTCTGACCCAGGTGAGGGTGGTGTCGACGTAGCTGACGAGAGGGAAAAGCTGGAGGTAGAACGTGATCTCACCCTGCACCTCGCGGAGCTCGTCGGCGTGGCGCGCCCCCATGAAGCACCGGTAGAGGTATCCGCGGCCCTGGCAGGACCTGACGAGCAGCAGCGCACGCCGGAGCGTCTCCTCGAGCTGCTCAATGGGGTTCCTCGTCTCCGGCTGCTGCATGAGCTGCGCGGCGTGGAGCTGGTGCAGCAGGTCTCCGATCATCTTGGCGCGGCGCGCGAGCTGCAGGCAGGTGGCTCTGTTCCTCCGGACCGTCTGCGTCGCATCGGCGATCATCTTGATGAGCCCGTAGGCGTCCACTCCTGCAAATTGCGCAACCATGGCAGCCTGACCAACTAGAGCCATTGCTTATCTTGGTTTGGTTCCAAGAGAAGGAGGAGGAGGATGCGTTCACTCTGGGTCAGGGAGAGCAAGATCCAACTAGCTGCTCATAAAAAGGCCGCCCGCGAGATACGGTGTACAAGTGAAGACGATGACTTTGACTAGCGTGGGCAATACAGACCATATGCTCCTACCGTTCAATTATTGGATTTGTCAATCATGCCTCCATTATTGACATTTGGACAGAGATAGCTTAAGGTGGGTCTAAAGTTGGGCAGGTTCCCGGAAACTTCAGGCTTCTAGTATGAATGGTTCGTCAGAAATGAGACTGAGCAAGGGCTAGGGCAGCCGGTCCGACGTGACACGACCAATTGTTCAAGGTTTGAAGTGATACTTAACGAACTTACTGAGAAGCTTCCCATCTTGTGTGACCTCCATTTTTTTTTTTTTTGAATTTTCAAGGGGGGAGCTTCCCCACCTGAATTGTATTCATGTTGCCTATATGGCTTTGCAGCCTATCCCAAAATAGATTCAAATGAACCGAAAATACAAGGGGATATGTAAGGAGAAGAAATAAAGAAAAGTGACACATACAACAACACACATAACAGGGGAGAAGAGAGAGGGAAAGCACAACACTACACCACAAGAGCACCGCCAGTGTAAACAAAACGACATTGGCCAGCCAAGACCAAACCAGGACACTGCACCATCGATGCAATCGAAAGGCGTCGCGCATCCGAGACTGCACAACGCCGTGACACCACCTGCGCTGTGGGGTGCAATCGAAAGGTCACGCGAGCCGAGACGACGCCACGGCACATGTGTGCCACCGGCACAGTTGAAGGGTATCGCGTGTTCGAGACCGCACAATGCCGCAACACTACTTGTGTCCTGGGGCACAATTGAAAGGTCACGCGAACCGAGATGACGCCACAACGCATGTGTGCCACTAGCGTAGTCGCATAGGCACTGCCAAGCAGAGTCGCACGAAGAAGCACTTGAACACGAAGAACAATGATGAAGACGAGGCAAGACGGCCAACCCCTAAGCCACGGCCCTCGCGGATGGGAGGAAACGGCATCCATGGCCGCCACAACAAGCCGTGGATCTCGCCGACCCGACGGACATGTTGAAATTCTGTTCATGGGATCGATCACATCAAATCACGACGAACACACGCGTAAGCAAAAACTTTTGCCAAAGGCATGCCGTGCCTCTCTTTTTCCTCTTTTTATTTTCTTGTTTTCTCCACTCACGATGTTACAATCTGGCAGGCCTCGTCGTGTATATACACACACGCCAGGACCAGACCCATCAAACCGACTCAAGGTTGACTCCTACGCCTACACGAACATAAACACAAACTGACTGCTCCAACTCCTACTTGGACTCTATAATTCCTAATCGGACACACCTAACAAACCTAATCCTACTGACTCAAACAACACGGCATGCAAGTCATACGTGCACACGGACATGGCTACAAGTCCTAGCCGGACTAACTAGTACATGTGCTAACCGTAACTTGCCATGCATGTGCCTAATTAACCTAACACAAAACCCTATATGTATTAGAGGCAAGATTATGCCAACAGCTTCCACCTAATCTTGACTTGTCATCTCCTTGTACTACGTACTTCTGATCTTGGCTCGTTGTAGATCCACGACTTGACGATCCATTTCAACGTATGATCCACACTCCCAGTCAAGCTGCCATGTGGACTACACCGCCCACACCTAACGCAATACATGCCAACGGATCGCACACCGTCCCTTGTAGAGACAGGTCCTCATTGAAGAGAATCCCCTTCACTGGTCTTCGTCTGTTGGGGAACGTAGTAATTTTAAAAAAATTCTACGCACACGCAAGATCATGGTGATGCATAGCAATGAGAGGGGAGAGTGTGTCCATGTACCCTCGTAGACCGAAAGCGGAAGCGTTATGACAACGCGGTTGAAGTAGTCGTACGTCTTCACGATCGACCGATCCTCAGTACCGAACGTACGGCACCTCCGTGTTCAGCGCACGTTCAGCTCGGTGATGTCCCGCGAACTCACGATCCAGTAGAGCTCGAGGGAGAGTTTTGTCGGCATGACGGTGTGATGACGATGTTGATGAAGTTACCGATGCAGGGCTTCGCCTAAGCACCGCTACGATATGACCGAGGTGGATTATGGTGGAGGGGGGCACCGCACATGGCTAAGAGAGATCAATGATCAACTTGTGTGTCTATGAGCCCCTTGCCTTAGTATATAAAGGAGGAGAGGAGGGGAGGCCGGCCGGCCCCTATGGGCGCGCCAAGTGTGGAGTCCTACTAGGACTCCAAGTTCTAGCAGGAGTCCACCAAAGGGAAGGAGGGAAGAAGGAAGGAGAGGGAGGAGAGAAAGGAAAGGGGGGCCGGCCCCCTAGTCCAATTCGGTTTGGGCTAGGGGGGCCGCGCGCCCTGCCTTGCCCTGCCTCCTCTCTTAGACCACTTGGCCCATGAGGCCCAATACTTCTTTTCCCGTATTCCCGTATCTCCCCGGTGCTCCGAAAAATACATGAATCACTCAGAACCTTTCTGATGTCCGAATATAGTCGTCCAATATATATTGATCTTTATGTCTCGACCACTTCGAGACTCCTCGTCATGTCCCCGATATCATTTGGGACTCCGAACTACCTTCGGTGCATCAAAACACATAAACTCATAATACCGATCATCACCAAACGTTAAGCGTGCGGACCCTACAGGTTCGAGAACTATGTAGATATGACCGAGACACGTCTCCGGTCAATAACCAATAGCGGAACCTGGATGCTCATATTGGCTCCCAGATATTCTACGAAGATCTTTATCGGTCAAACCGCATAACAACATACATTGTTCCCTTTGTCATCGGTATGTTACTTGCCCGAGATTCGATCGTCGGTATCTCAATACCTAGTTCAATCTCGTTACCGGCAAGTCTCTTTACTCGTTTCGTAATACTTCATCCTGCAACTAACTCATTATTCACATTGCTTGCAAGGCTTATAATGATGAGTATTACCGAGAGGGCCTAGAGATACCTCTCCGATACATGGAGTAACAAATCCTCATCTTGATCTATGCCAACTCAACAAGTACCATCGGAGACACCTGTAGAGCACCTTTATGATCACCCAGTTACGTTGTGACGTTTCGTAGCACACAAAGTGTTCCTCCGGTATTTGGGAGTTGCATAATCTCATAGTCATAGGAACATGTATAAGTCATGAAGAAAGCAATAGCAATAAACTAAAACGATCAAGTGCTAAGCTAATGGAATGGGTCAAGTCAATCACATCATTCTCATATTGATGTGATCCCGTTTATCAAATGACAACTCATGTCTATGGTTAGGAAACTTAACCATCTTTGATCAACGAGCTTGTCAAGTAGAGGCATACTAGTGACACTATGTTTGTCTATGTATTCACACATGTATTATGTTTCCGATTAATACAATTCTAGCATTAATAATAAACATTTATCATGAAATAAAGAAATAAATAATAACTTTATTATTGCCTCTAGAGCATATTTCCTTCATCATCCCACTACACGCTTGAGCTTGATCTCCGCTTCACGTCTTCGCCATCGATGCTACACCACACCGGACAACCCATCGACGTGACACGCTTCATCTTCAATCGATCATCACAGAGAGAAGCACTTGGACATGACGGCGACGACGACAACTCACTTACACGACGACGACCAGCCGCGCAAACTCGCACGACAACACAACTCATCTATCTCCCCCAAACGATGATCTTGATGAGCTCCAGCGCCACACCTTGGCACCACCTCTCCCATCAACGATCTCATTTCACCGCCTTGCTAACGACAGCCTGCCGTCTCCCTCCTTGTCACTCCGCCTAATGACAATCGCCCGATCCTCCTCGCCGCTGCATCACCCAATGACTCCATCGCCCGCTCCTCCTCGTCGCTGCACCACCCAGCGACAACATCACCCGCTCCGAGACGCTAGTAGGTCGCCACCCCGAGGCAATCGCGGCTTCAAATCGACATTGCTCTGATACCAATTGTTGGAATTCCGCCCATGTAATCAATCACTGTTGGAAATATGCCATAGAGGCAATAATAAAAGCATTATTATTATATTTCCTTGTTCATGATAATTGTCTTTTATTCATGCTATAACTGTATTATCCGGAAATCGTAATACACGTGTGAATACATACACCACAATATGTCCCTAGTGAGCCTCTAGTTGACTAGCTCGTTGTGATCAACAGATAGTCATGGTTTCCTGGCTATGGACATTGGATGTCGTTGATAACGGGATCACATCATTAGGAGAATGATGTGATGGACAAGACCCAATCCTAAGACTAGCACAAAAGATCGTGTAGTTCATTTGCTAGAGCTTTGCCAATGTCAAGTATCTCTTCCTTCGACCATGAGAGTGTGTAACTCCTGGATACCGTAGGAGTGCTTTGGGTGTATCAAACGTCACAACGTAACTGGGTGACTATAAAGGTGCACTACAGGTATCTCCGAAAGTATCTATTGTTTTATGCGGATCGAGACTGGGATTTGTCACTCCATGTAAACGGAGAGGTATCTCTGGGCCCACTCGGTAGGACATCATCATATGCGCAATGTGACCAAGGAGTTGATCACGGGATGATGTGTTACGGAACGAGTAAAGTGACTTGCCGGTAACGAGATTGAACAAGGTATTGGATACCGACGATCGAATCTCGGGCAAGTAACATACTGATAGACAAAGGGAATTGAATACGGGATTGATTAAGTCCTTGACATCGTGGTTCATCCGATGAGATCATCGTGGAACATGTGGGAGCCATCATGGGTATCCAGATCCCGCTGTTGGTTATTGACCGGAGAACGTCTCGGTCATGTCTACATGTCTCCCGAACCCGTAGGGTCTACACACTTAAGGTTCGATGACGCTAGGGTTATAAAGGAAGTTTGTATGTGGTTACCGAATGTTGTTCGGAGTCCCGGATGAGATCTCAGACGTCACGA